GGCTTGTAAACAAGATGGAAACGTCATCAAGCATTAGAGGTACGACTTCATCTTCTGCCGTACGTAGCGGGTCAAAGCAGGTACGCACATCCGGGGAGAAAAGGCCCCAGCAACCTCATTTTTCTGCAGTAACTAGCAACTCTGACTGCTGCGGTTCGGCGGTACGCAGCCTGCCGCGAGCCAGGAAGGAGCCTCTCCCGGCCAGCCCCGCTCAGGCGGCTTTGCTGCAGCGCAGCCCGAGCACAAAGGGAAAACGAAGCGCATGTTAAAACTGCGAGTTTTACAAATTCTCTGTACAAAACCCGCCCCAGCCAACTTGTCCGAGGGAAGGGGGGACGGCTGCTCGGCCACCTGCGCGTTGGCGAGGACGCCCTGCAAAGGCTGGAAAGCAGGTAGCCCGGCTAGCCCAGCGCCAGCCCGGGAAAGGCTTTGCCGGAAGCCAAGGTTCGTACTCTTCTCCTGGAAACGGAAAGATGGTTTTATTCCCGCAAACGGAAATCTCGCCTGTGGTCGGCCTCTGGCAGCAGGTGGCTGCTTTGGACCCTCTCAGAAAACCCGCGCAGATGAAAATCCGCTCGAGCGTGCTTAGGGGACCGCGCAGCGCCGGCGCGATGCTCTTTGCCTGCGCGCAAATTCGTCCTGAAGACCCCCCTCCGAGACGTAAATGGGAGATGTTTTTGTATTCGCGGGAGGCAGCGTGCCCCGGGCATGCGCTAGACCAGGATTTCGTGTTTGTTGGGGGAAGCCCTGCGTCACCTCTTCCCGGTGAGGAATTTGCACGCCATCCGCTGCGTTGCAATCCCTGGGAGCGAGGACGCCGCCTGCCTCGATCAACACAAAAACGCAGATTTTCCTCTCCTGTGTTGGGGCAGTTTGGTCGCGCTTCATATTTTCTATTTAAAAAAAGAAGTAACATGAACGTGTTCACACTGCAGCGTATAAAATGCACTTATCACACCCTCTGCGCCCCATGCGTGATTAAAAAATGATGCAACAGCCTGACTTGTACTAAAAAAAAATTGTAGAGGTTTCGAGCCACAGTTTTCACCAGAGCGGCGGGTTTTTCCCACCGGTT